AAAAGGGGAATAATCGAGAGTCAACACAGCCGAAGATAGGAGAGACGTAACCGGACTTCGTTTTTCAACTTTTCTTCCAAATCCAGCGACACCTCTTTGGCAAAATTGATTGGAGCACTCCGAGTTCACTCCTCGCGCCAAGGCGCCTTCAATTTTGCAAATGCTACACGGACATCCATCAAGCATGAATAGTGGTATCTCTGCGCCGTCAATGACGCGTGTCTTTTGCCTTGCTCTTCTTCTATATTGTGTTTGGTTCCGCTTGTCTGATTTGTATTGAAGCTTCAGGGGCTACGTGCGCAACACACCGAATATAGGAGCGACGTAATTGGGCCTTGTTTTTTAAATTTTTTCCGGAATCTGAGCGAAACCTCATGGACAACGTTTAACAAAATGCAACATAGGGTCATATTCGTTCCTTTAACAAGCCGTTTCCTCAGAGGGCGTTACGCACGTACATAGCGATAAAGGGAGGTTCAATGAAATCTGTACATAGCATCATTGAAAGGACAATTTTTGCTGATCTCGAGTGAAATTCTGCAGTATAACTTTGGAAATGAACCTTACAAAAAGTGTGAAATTCATAAGGGCAAAATTCTATGATTTTGACGAACTTCAAGGTAGGAGCGGACCTACCTTAAAAAATACAAGACCAGCGATATATTCACTTCCGTATGTTGCATATTTGTACTGGTAAACCATTGTAATCCCCTTGAAGATCCCATTTCCAAAGTACTATTACATTTTACTAGAGATTCGTTAAAACTTAAAATGCGTCTTTTTTTTAACACTAAATTCGAGAATCTCCTTGAATCTGCCTTAATACTCAATGTAAAGCATATCAATTGCCAAAGTGCGAAACCACGTATCTCCGTTTTTAAAGTTGCAGACTTCCTGTCATACTTTATTTTTTCCTCTGAAAACTGGTCAACGTAATTTCTTGAAGGCCTCTTTGATTTTTCTTCTGTCTTTGCAGATTATTTCGTATAAGTTTTGGGCCATAAAGTTGTCTCTTCCCTCTATTAAAAAATAAAATGGACGCGAAAATTTTGAAACACCGCAATTATGATACGCGGTTCCGTAATTTGGCCAGCGGACCGATTATTGAAACTGATAGATAAAGCGATAGACAAAGACGACAAAAGGGATTTGGAGGGATCCTATTGGTGGAAACGGGTTGTTGCAATGGACAAAGGAGGTATAGGTAATCGAATAAGTAACGGCAACCCACGAGAAACCCGACAGTTAGTCTATCATTTTCCCCCTTAGTCGATGAGAACCACCCATTTCAACCAATAGAATTGCTTTATACCCCATATGTCATCTTTGGCTATCGCTTTGTCTATCAGTTTCAATAATCGCCCCGCAGCGACGTGAAGTCTCCCGAGGAAAAAAGCTGCTATAACGACTATGGATACGGTCCTGAGTGTTAAGACTCGAAATAGTAAACCAATACCACCTACCCATACCTTTCACCGCCAAAAAATAAACTAAGAGGTGAGGTGTCCCTGGTAAAAATTTAGGTTTCCTTCTAATATGTAAACCGACGCCATATGCAAGTAATTTTTATCCAGGAAATACTCGGTCTGTATTGATGTAAGTGTTTTATTATTGAGTGATTGTCTTAAATGAGAGTACTGAGGGAAATTTAAGTAAATCAAGCTTCCAAGTCATAATCAAAGTCAGACTTTTTCATCTGGGCCAGTTTCCGGTTCAGTGAAGTTTTGGTATTCTTTTACGCGACCCTAATGCTTGTAATCTTTCATTTTTAAGTGCGTGTCTTTAATGAAAGGGTTTTTTGAAATTTTTGCACGCAATTTGCATTTCAAACACTCACTTGTTTCAACAGTTCCCCATAAAATGCAGTGTATTTTGGTTTTCACCAAGGGTTCCTAACCTCCTTCGCTGGAAGGTGTTGTGAGATGATGTTGAGTGAACGGAAACGAGGGTTAGTTTTCAGGCTCGATTTTAGTGCATAAATTAGGCAACGTGGATTATCGTACGACAGGGTTGCCACAGAATTTTGAAAATGAAATTCTCTGACATATCCCTGACACATTTTGATGCAATTCCCTGACAACTGCAGATATGGCAAATGGTTAAGAAGACATGATAGAAAATAGTTTTCAGGCAAAATTCGTAGTTCGAAACCTCAAACCCATTTTAGAGCGCAAACAAAGGAGGTTTAACAAATTTTCCTTGACCTTTTCGACATTTCCAGGTTTTCCCTGACTTTTTAAACAATTCCCTATCATTTCTCGGTTTTCCCGGTATTCCCTGACTGTGGCAACCCTGTCTTACGATGGTCGACTGTGACAAGAAAAGCTACGCGCTGACCGCAGCCCGGCACGGGAGTTTCACTTACGAGTATTTTAAACATTCACCCTTCATTAGCCGCTCCTTATCGGTGAGATATCGGACCACCGAGCCGTGTCGCACAGTGGATCGAGTCAGTAAGAGAGGTCGGACATGAAACGTTTGACTAAAACTGCAAATTTTTATGTTCATTTCGTAACATTTTAAATTTCAAGGGGTGCCGCTGGAAGAAAATTTCATAAGGAAACCAATGAAATCACTTTAAGAACCTCAAGGTTTTGTACAAACGGAGTTATAAGCGTTTAAAGTTTCCGAATTTTGTCCAGCCTCTCCTATTGACTCGATCCACCGTGTGTCGCGGCTCGGCACTCGACTCTCATTTTATTCCAGAAAAATATCTCTCATCTGAGGCAATAAACGAAATTTATGCGTCGTGAATAGACTCCAGGCATTTGTCCCTCCTCTCCTTTTCGCTCTTTTTGTACTCTCTCCAGACCTCTGAAACACTTTTGTGCGGTTTTTTTTCTGTTTTTAACGTTTTTTCGGGGACTTGTTAAGGGGTGTCCGAGTCTATGGTCAAGTAGAAATAACATGTGGGTTGGTTTGCAACGTCGCAAAGCTCCTGTAAAAATTAATCGATCGAATTTCACTAGAAATAGCGCAACTACGCCGGACGTTGCCGCATCTCCAACGGTTTATTTTTTTTTTAAAGTAACCCCAAGCTATATTTTGAGTTGAAATTTTGTGGATGTATTCTGTGATTGATTCCGTGTGTCGACAGGGATGGATTTCTGGCGTTGATAAGCTGTTATTTCCGAGTTAGATCGCGTTTAGAATGAGGGAGAGGGGGTGGTTAAGAGAAATGTTGAATCTATGATGCGACGTTAAAACAATTGGTAAAAATTCACCGAGATGGCATGTTTGTAAAGAAAATGTACCTTCTAAGAAACCATCTAATGAGAAAATTAACGAGCACATCTTTGGAAAATCTCAATTCTCAACGCTCATTTCACCATTTTTTGCCGACTGAAAGTAATGTTCGGTTGAAAAAGGTTTAAAAATCAGACTTTTGGAGCCTTTAACCATTAATTAAGATGCATTTATCCGGAGAGCTTCGATGTTTCATCAAAATGGCAAAATCCGAGAAAGCCAGGATTCATCAATAGGCACTAGGTTCTTTCTTAAAAATGTTATCCTTCATCTTGGAACTCTTATCAGGAACCAGTGTATCGTATCGAGTTTCGCTCTTGAGGTTTGAAACCAATCTATTCCAGCGTAGAAAGGAAAATCGCCTTAATAGGTACATTAAACAAACAGTGAAAAGTAGCTTCCGAACCAGAGTATACTTTATTAAAAATGACGAAATAAGAATTCTGAAACTCACCAGAGTTCAATGCTGGGCACAAACATTTTCATTGTATTTAATGATTTAGCCGAGAACTTCCAACAAAATTAGGCTGGTTATCGTTGAAAAATGCCCAAGATTTAATTTAAGGTCTAGGAAGCGTTTTCACAGTACCGATTTCTTATTGTGTACACAACAATGGAGAAAATGTTCATGTGTGTGAAACTTCACCGAGAAGAAAAAACTGAAACGTTTCGGTGACAAAACTTGTTGTTCAATCTTGTTACGACGTAGGAGTCGGAGCGTAGCACGCTTGTAAAAGTAAAATGTGGAGCGGGCGGTCCACATGTGTCGTCATATTTCAAAATGTTGACCGGGGATCAAACCAGACGAGGACCGAAAGGGATTCGGCGATCCAATTTCGAATTCCGAGCCAAACAATACAATATTACGTTCCCCCTTCCGATTATAATAAACATGCAGCGCTGCACTTTTCGGAGGAAATCAATAGATAAAAAGGAAAGGACCAACTGGAACGAAACAGTTCTTCTGCGAGGCAAATTGCGGAGGCGGAAAATGCCTCACGCAAACCAAGGAACTTGCGAAGGAAATGGGGAAGTTGGATTGAAAAATCGGAAGCCATTGCACCTTCCGATGATTATAACTCCTCTAAATTTTATGCGCTCAGCCGATAAGGGAATGCTTTTTTGTTTCGAACTGCATCTAGATTTCTAGGATACTAGAGGCAATGCGTTCAAATGGAGCACTAGCTAAACAACAAGGTAAGGGAGAGGGGCCTAACGTATTTGGAAGAGATTAATCTGCGATACCTTTACTTAAAGCTTCTGATGTCAACGCACAGGGAACGATTATCGTCGTTTATTTATAATTTATCTCCTTAGCGGTAGTTTTCTCAAAATTGATAGTTGGAATTTTGATGGGCGAGTTCTTTCATTTCAAGGGTGTACATTTTATTCGGGGATCTTAAAAACGCAACAGCTAGGCGCTTCTTTAATATGAACGTCTTAGAGCTTACTGCTTGTTTTAACGTGTTGTTACTCTGATTTCATCACTACGTTGGACAGCTTTTCTTTTTAACGTGTCAATGATGGACAGAATGAGGATTAAAACATCACAAGATATTTTATTTTCTTACAATTACATGAGAAACAGTTTAAGATGGTTCTAGAGCTTATATTGGTTTCCGATTCTATAAGACAAGCATCCTGCTTATTCACGAGTTAAAAAAAATAATAATAAACTAAAATATTTCAACGAAAGAGCGAGGAAAATTTGAATAGTTCGGGATCACGAAAACAGTAAAAATCCAAAAACGTACCTCATTGGTGTTCCATCGATGTCGTTGAATTGGAAAATGCTCTGCTCTCGGAAGACTTTCCAGGTTTTCCGGCAACTTGATTGGTTCGCCATCTGAAACAAGGAGGATTCTTGATTTAATGGTTGAAAAAGGCTTTTGCCTTGCACTACATGTAAAGACAGCAAATGTGCGAGAAATTGCTTCTCAATAGTTACTCCTCATAATTTCGTCATCATTTCATCGGGCGATTCTAAAACATCGGCAACAACTTTTTCTTTCATTTAAATTATATAAAACAATCGAATCCAGGCGAGACAGGCTATGCCACCTAGAATCGATATTTATGGTGCGTTTACATGCGAGAAAAACACAATTGCAAAACCTGCGATAATCGCATTCGCTTTAGTTACAAAAACGTCAAACAAAATTAAGCATACTAAGCGCGACGCTTCATTCAGGCTGAGAAAAGACACTCCAAAAACGGTAAATTGAGACAAAAGAGCAGTTCAAGTACGTCAAAAAACATCCGTAGAGGCTAACTACAACAGAATGGCAAGAGTGGGGCAAAGTCGGGCTGTTCCCGCAAATTAATCACTGTGGACTACCGGCGAACACACTAACGTTAAGATCGTTAATTCCGATAAAATCTCAGTTGTCGGAGCTTATCGGTGGTATTGGAGCTGCCAATATGCCACGTTACTTCGGTCCGTGGGTATTCATGTGCATCCCCGAAAAAATGCTACTATTTGACCACGCGAACAACTAGGTAAAAGCTTGTTTCGATTTCCGTTGATGCAGCTTCAAGTGAGGTAAAAATTACTCTCAACCATTTTTATTACAGAGAACATATGGATAACATTTTGCAATAAGGAACCACTATCTTTGGCTCTCCCATAAAAGCACATATCTGCATAGAGAAACCAATGGCATGTATGTTGTTTCTAAAATGGGCCAGAAATAGTGGTTCCTTATTGCAAAATGTAATCCATATTTTCGGATATAGGACACGATTATTCACTATGCAAGAATAGTTCCACCCAGACGTCAGCATCGATCCTTCATATAAATATACATATTGGACTCTATTGGGAATCAAAACAATGACATAAGGTCTCAAATGATTCCAAATGGTATCTAACGTAGATTTTATGATTACAAATAGTTAATAAATATAATGATACACCAATATAATTATCTTCCAAAATAACTTATCAGTATAATAAAATTGTACGAGTTCATGGTCGATTTTTACACGGGCGCGGTAGCGATGCACAGGCGCTTGGAACCTGAATTTCGAACTCATATATTTTTAAACAATTAATTAATCGAAAGAGGCGCCCAAATTTTCAAAAATTGTGTCTTTTATATGCTTGAGGAATATATTATTAATCCAATCTGCGCTCTTTTGGACCCTTTGCATTCGGGGAAAGTGTCCGTCCAAGTTGAGAGTTGGGTTCGGTTGGGTTAAGCATCTAAACTAACTCCCCGGTGAGGCGGGAAGTCGCCTACGAAATTGAAGGCGCGCCGGACCGGAATCATGCGGATCATTGTAAGCGCAAGCGATTGGATTGGCGTGACTGGCGCCAAATTTTCGGAGTCAATTCGACCCCGGTGAGCCCGGACCTCCGGGGACCGGGCCCTGGAAAAAAGCCCCCCCCCCCCCGAGCGGCCCTGGTGCCGATTAAATTTGAAATTCTACCGACCGTTATCAAATCAACAAGCATACTTTTTCCTCTCCAAGAAAAGTTGTTCCCATTTTCTGAACGTTGCTCATGCATGCATGCCATTAATTTCCCTTTAGAAGCTTTTAGTGTTACATCACAGAAAAGAGAAATAAATAAATTTAATCTGATTGGTGGTTGTTGATCCAACTCGATAAAACGGCGATTTCCAATGGTAACGTCATCATCAATAGCGCCCATAAAAATATGCGTTTCAGTACGTCCTCGATTTTTCCTGCTAAAATCGGTCCGATCACGTCCATCGAACGCTGAAAAATTTCAATCGGACGTATTCATACTAAAAGGAACAATGCGAAAACGAATGCAAACGAAAGGAACTATGGAGCATGCAAACCCTACGCACATAGTTCTTTTTTATTTAATTAATTTTCACACAGTTCCTTTCAGCACTAATACGTTCAATTGCGAGCGTTAGACCGAGGTTTTCGGGTGGGATGATAAAATAACGCTGCTTGTCTGGACGGGTTGAGACATAACAGTGTTTGATGTGTTTGATTTGATTTTCCAGCTCGACAGGTTGTTCGCCTCCGCGGGGCGTGTGATGTGGGATGCGGGGGTGGGAGGGGGGGGGGATTGAGGGTTCGGGGAGGGGTGAGGGGATGGTCGATCGGGGCTGGCCGTTCAATCTTGGTCCAGTATTAAAATTCAATACACAAGTCATGGTAGGTATAAACAAATAATTGCGAGGAGATCGTATTGGTTTGCTGGATGGTGGATTGTAAGATTGGTGGTCTGCTCTTGGCAAGACAACGGAGACGCGCCTCGGCTGCTAAGCATAAATAACTTATTCAGAGGAGGAACTTACCAAGAGTCGTACGCCCCCCTCCACCCACTCTCGTCCTCTCCCTCTCCTTCCACCACAACCCTCCTTTCGTCCAATTCAATTCACATACAGCTAGAGTATTGGTCAATAAAATTTATTTAAGAAAGTTTTTGTGTTCTTCCTTCCTTCCGCGGTTGCCATGAGGAACAGTCTCTTGGCAAAAGGGGGAAAAAAACAAAGTCTGACTGTTGATCAACGGACCAGAGTGTCTACTAAAACGAACCGGCCAAAAATCAGTACTTTTACAGTACTTTTTCGGTACATTTCCGAGAAATTCAGTACCTCCAATTGACGAAATTCGAAAAATGTCGAAAATTTGAATCTCTCGCTCACATTGCAACAAAAGTAACAGAAAAATGAAAAAAATTCCGGACCTTTTTGTAGAATTTCCGTACTTTTTCAGTACTTCTGGACCGCCTTCAAAAAAATCAGTACTGTTTCCGGAATTTCCGTAAATTACGGACTGTAGACACCCTGATGGACTGATAATCGAAATTGGACCGCGTTAAGCAGAAAGGAATCAAGCCACATCAACTATTGTCAAATTTAATTGGGAAATTTATTTTTTTACATGAAAACGGTTGTGCCGATTTTTTTGCAAATTTTAGTAAATTTTCTGCATACTACGGAGCAAATTCCTTCGAATTTTTACAAAAAAATTTCACAAACGTTCTCTTGTAAAAGATTAGATTGCTCACAATCAGTTAAAGTTGGCAACAGCTGATGTGGCTTGGTTCCTTACTGTTGAACGCGGTCCAATTGATGGACAAAGCGATAGACTAAGATTGGTGGAAACGGGTGATCGCAATGGATAAAGAAGGTAAGTCATAGATTAACTTACAGTAGCCCACGAGTGATCCTATACTTAGTCCATCATTTCCCTCATTAGTATGATCTTATTATAGATCTGTTATCGGAACGCATACACAAAAGGTGTTACGGGCTTTCATTAGAGACACCGTGTGAAGCTATTCGTATTCATGTCGTTCACTTTAAATTCGCCTTCAATTTCACTGGATAGGCATCAAACCGATCAGGTAGCACGAATCGTTACCTTTTCGAAAATCGCACATATATCTCGCTCTACGTTTTGCTTAAGCAATTGGTCGATAAGTGCACACATTTGGTGATATCCTTCCGTGAGGTTCTTCAATTTTGCAAGTAAACAAGGATAAGAAAAGAAGATAAAAAGCCTATCCGTCGGCAAGAATAGTTCTTTATCCAAAAAGCATCCATGCATCTCGCTCCATCTTCAATTGGATAATTAGACCGTACGTGAACCTATCCGTAGATTGTCACCTTCCGGCCAAAGTATCACAAACATTTAAAAATCGTCACCACCATTTTATTTTTTACAGAGAAATTGTTGGTTGAATCTGTTTGAAAATTTCACTGAATTTCATCAGCAGCACAAAAAAAAATTCAATGAAATTTTCGGGCAGCTTCAACAAATAATTTCTTCGTAAAAAAAAATAATGGCGGCGAAAACTTTTAAACGTCGCATGGCGCTTGTGATACTTACGCCGGTAGGAGGCGAGATATGTTCTACTCGAAGTATTCGCCACTGATTTCACTGCATACGCAACAAACCGACCGAGGAGTATGAATAGTTCTCTATTCCAAAAACAAATATTAATTAATAATAGTAATAATAAATAAATTATAATAATAATTATATAATAATACATTAATATTAATTGCGCTCCATGTTCCGATTGAACAATTACACGATGCGTGAAATAAATCGTAGATATGCTCCACTTGAAGTGCGCCTTCAAATGAACAGGATAGGCAACAAACAGACCAGCGAGCAAGAGAAGTGTTCTGAGCGAAAAAAAAGCAATTCTTCCCATTGTTGAACCTCACCCCCGCTCAAATTACGGGGACAAACCAAGGCTGACCCACCCCCCACTTAGTTCCGTCTTGATCCGTCCAAAGTTTAAATGAATTTCGTGAGCTTTCAAGAGCATTCCTGATTTAGCTGGTAGCCCCGACGCGTTCCCCGAGAACTTTTACACGGGACACGATGATTAATTCACAAATGCTAGTCGGGAGCAGGGGCTCCATTTCGCATTCAGGGGCCGCAAACGCTCTCCGCCGCAAATCATAATGATCCAAAATCCAGACCTTGAATGCAAATTATTTTAGATGGAAAGAAACTTAAATGAGGAGCAGGTTAACATGCTGAAAAGATTTTCAATTCCGTTGTCTGATTTGAGGATTATTCCCTCCTCGCTCCGAATGTCCCGGGCGCCGGCGAGGAAATGTGTCAAGCGTGTGAAAAGCGGGAGAGCGTATTAAAACTTTAAAAGTTGATGTCAAAGGCTGACTCGAGGTGGCGGAAAATCGCTGCAAAACATTGTTGTCATACTTCGCCGACTGAGTCGATTTTCCGCCCGGTATTTAGTACAGGAAACGGGAAAGGCGTTCTTGTAAACTTCCTTGAGAGATGAACGAGTCACTGACCTACATAGAAGTTTTGCAACGTGAAAAAACGATCACCTTGTAAAGCTAACACTTCGCTAGGGAGGGTGTTAAAAACTGCAAA